GCAATCAATGCGTATCCCATGTCCTGGATCCCACATATCTAAATATGGATGCTTGATGGAAAAATGAAAACTTCTGACCTTCGTCCTCAGAAAACGGCACCTTGTGCTCTTTCAGGTAGCGGCCCATCTCCCCATTATGGCACATCTCCAACACCAGGTACACGTAGTTATTGTCTTCAAAGTAATTGTACAGCTGAGAAACGGATAGCAAGTGCAATTTAGCTTTGAGGAATACTGTACATAAAATGATTGAGCACAGGAAAAAGTGAGCACATGAAATGAAAACTGAAAAGAGAGGGATTGGACCGCTACTGCAAACATAAAATCATGTAAGCTGGAAAGATTTTGAAAATGCTTCTTGACACCATTGCTAATTTTATTATTATTTTTTTTTGTATCATGACGCAATACTGAGTATGCCTGCCGGTCAAAAACATAATCATCATAAGGAAGTCTTTGAAAGAAAAAAAGTCAACCGTTGAAAAGAAGACAATAGTGACTGAGCATTAAGCAGCCCAGAGGGCAGTTTGTGTGATGTAACCATGGCGACACTAACAAAAGGCACTGTGTGTTTTGTGTGTGTGTTTTGTGTGTGTGTGTGTGGGGGGGGGGGGGGTCCTCTGTGTTTACCTCAAGTATCGAAGGGTGCTTTAAGCGGCAGTGAATCTCGACCTCGTTTGTCACACGCTGGACCATCCCAGCTTTGTGCATCATTTTCTTGTCAATCTGAAAAGGGAGACAGAAGAAGATGATGTCGTTGCTACCGAACAGGTGTTACGGGAGTCAATCTGTCGCATGTAAAGACAATGAAGCACCGAGACGCGCGGGGAGCCAGGATGTCCTAATTGTACCTCAGCAGTCTCTGATGACAGCTGTGTGGGCGGGACTTATTGTAGGCTCGACTTTTCCTGACAGGTAACGCCAATTCCCTGTCATTAGCCAGGTCGTGCTTACCATTTTGATGGCAACCTCCAGGCCTGTCTTGATGGATTTTGCCCGGTAAACACAAGCAAAGGAGCCTTTGCCGAGGAGGGTGAGGACTTTAAAATCCTGAATAGAAAACAAACAGGAGGGAGAGAAAAAAAGGCAGATTATTTCAAAGGGCGCTTCTTCAGAACTTCTTGCCAAACAATTTCAGCACAAGAAAAATCCAACACTTTTTCCATATCCTCATTAGGGCAGCAAGTGATCTTGAGCCTATCACAGCTGACTTTGGTTGAAAGACGGGAAAAGATTCAAACCCGTCAGCACTGAAAAGAAGAAAACCACAACTACCATGCTGGCCCTCGTCAAGAACCACATGACTAAAATGCAGCGTGTATTGGCAAAAAGGCGTTACCGTGCACATCCAATGATCATGATGAATGACAATGGCCAAAAGTCAATGAAATTGTGTGCCCGCTGATTAGAGCTGTCAAAATGAACCAAATCATTGAGAAATAATCCATCCATCCATCCATCCATCCACTTTATCCTCACAAGGGTCACGGGGGGCGCTGGAGCCTATCCCAGCTGTCTTCGGGAAGTAGGCGGGGGACACCCTGAACTGGTTACCAGTCAATCGCAGGGCACACATAGACAAACAACCAATCACACTCACAATCACACCTCGGGACAATTTTGAGTGTTCCGTTAACATCCCATGCATGTTTTTACAATGTGAGAGGAAACCGGAATACACGGTGAAAACCCCTCGCTGGTACGGGGAGAACATGCAAAGTCCACACAGGAAGGCCGGAGCCGGGATCGAAATCCTGCACCGCTGCACTGTGAGGTGGATGTACGAACCAGTCAACCACGTTCCATCTCTACAACTAATAAATTATCAAATTAAACAACAACTATTTTGATCATTGAGCTGTCATTTAGATCCATCCTGTGATTTCGGTCGCCCTTCATGAAAGCAGACCGGTTATTTTTTTTTGGCTGCTCAAAACAAGACATTTGTAGACATCTGCCTTGACTTTGGAAACTATGGCCAAACCAGTAACTGAATCAAAATTTGAGTTGTTTAGTTCTGTGTTAAAATGATTAAATAATACCAAATAGCAACACTTAAAGCAAAATAAAATTGTATCCAATTATTCAATTAATTTCTGGAATAAACAACAGAATAATTGGAAAAATATTGGATTGTGACAGCCCTACAGACTATCAATAAAACAGCTTACAAAACAATTATGTGAATATTATGAACACAATAATATTTACCTGGTAGCCAGTGTCCATTTTGGAAAACCAAATACATTTGTAAAATCTGTTAACAGGTCTTATTGAGACTGACAGACGTATTCACTGAACATGATGTTTATTATTGCGCATCATTCATCTTAGCAGATGTCTTCTACATGGCGTCTTCAGGTTCCAGGGGAGTAATTCAGAATGTTTTTGGGATGTGAGAGGAGCATGCAAACTTCACACAGGAAGGTCAAATCTGGGATTTGGGATCCCTCCCAACCAGACATGAAAAGCCAATGAGCACAAATAATAAACACACTGTAAAACAAATACCGGTCCCTCTTTGACAGTGTCAATCAAGACAGCTTCCACTTTCGTAGAAATTGCACTTTGATCCAGAGTAGATCACAAGCATGGTACCTCAATGGCGAGCTCCCTAGTATAACACAAGATCTCCTCTTCATCTTCACTGCAGCTGAGATTGCGGAAGTAATTGAGTAAACTGTGGTTCATGCTGCTTCCGTTAAGAACGGGATGCGAGCCCAGGCGCCAACAAGTGTTGTCCGCCGAGACAAACGCTTAACGGCCGCACAAGCCAAGAACACCTGACGTCCGTCAGATGGCCAACCACAACCTGTAATTATCCCGGCGCGCTTCCCGCGAACCAAGCCACTTGGAGCCGTCTCCAAGCAGCGGGCGCATTGTGTCAACACACTCAGACAACAACAAAGCATAGAATAATAAAAGCCATAATAACAACATGGTAATCCATTTTGGACAAAACAATCCAGGAAGCTGTGAATCACATTCACCAAAGTAGTGGATCAATCCTTTTTGACCCATCTATAAAGAAACATGTTTTTTTGTTTTTTGTTTTTTTTAACATTACACGCCAAAAATATATATTCTGGATGTACAAATAGAAGCATCAATGGTAGACATTATGGTCAGCCAATTTCAGAATACACTCGTAAAAAGGTTATAATTTAATATATTTATAAGTAAGTGAATACGTACTGTAATTTCACAAATAACTAATAATAGTGTAATCGGTAGCCTCTTTTGGACAGTCAATTCCTGGATATGTTAGGCATAAAAGATAAATAGTTGTATCATTTAACAACAATAACAAACAATAAAACACACAACTTTCATATTAATAACTAAGAATGTATTTGTATGTTTAAACACTGACAGTAATAAAATAGGTTTAAGTACGGTCGGAAGAAATAGTAAAAGTAAAATTCATGACTATATTGTTTTCTGTGCATAGCGTATCAAATATTATTTAGAAAAAACGTATAGCAAAAAAAAAAAAAAACCACACTAATTGTAATTAGAATGCAACCCGATTTTACGTTACGTTACGTTTACAACCAAACAGCGACACAATGATAATGAACAACACTGCAATAGTTCGTTTCCCAAATAATTTTGGATTAGAAGGTGGTGGCTGTTGAAACTCTACGAACAATAATTGTCTCAAACCCAATATTCGGAATATACGTGTTAGCACAAATGTGATTTTATTATGAGTTTTTTGACACAAGGAACAACAAAACCATTTCGGTTACCGAATGCCCCTGCTAGCTATAGCCAGTCCATGCTAGCTAGCGTGAACACTCACCTCAATTCTCTCGCCGATTGAAACACTCATCGTGAGTTCTTTCGTCGTTGTCGATGCATGTAGAAAATGTGCAGAAGTAATCCATTCATCGATATCCGTCCAAGCGGTTCTCAGAGGGCAAACGCTGGGTGTTGTTGTATTGCCTTCCAAAACGTTGCCATCGCCTCCATATTTGAAAATATGCGCCCTTTAGTTTGCGTGCTTACGTCAGGCTTCGTCATTCAGACGCAGCAGTGACCACGCCCCCAAGCGACACAGCGAAATAGGATGCAGTAATTTTGAAACCCTCTCATGCAGCGCCGTCAAACAGGGCGATTCGAGGAGTCAGGCTCGATCGTTTTCACTGTTTTGTAATTTTTCAAACAATTTAATTCCTACCTTTTTGAAAGAAAAAGCATAAAATCTTTTTTAGAAAACTCTGTTGACGAAACCATCAACTCTGGTAAACGTTATTTAAATGTTGAGCTTCGGTCAAAGAGAAATTGCACATATCGTTATGCCAAAAATTTTATTTTGGCTCATAATGCAAAACATACTCTTTCGTATAAAATGGATCACATATGAAACATCACCATCTTAAATCTGTAAGTCGAGGGTTTTTTAGGAAAAGTTTGTGGTATTTTAGGAAACACAAACAATAATCGTTTGAACGGTATGAATTATTTTGCCAGTAAAAATAAATAAAAACTATGATGGCATTTGTTCTGCTTTGTGTCCATTTGAAGAGGCCATAAGATGCTGATTAAATTCCACTGGACACTGCATTAATGTCACACCACTTTTTTTTTCTGAACTGCGCTGTGTTGGTTATTCATGTGGTTTGAGCATGTTAAACTTCTTGTCCCTTCCACAATCTGTTCGACATGGGAACTCCAATAATTGCCCCAGCATATTATATAATCGCCATTGCAAGCCTTTGCACACCACGTGAGATGACTAGGAGGCCCAGATCTGGCACATAGGCCTTGAGTTTGACATTCCGCCTCATAACTTTTTCTTCGGAGAAAATGTTTGACAGATATTTAGCAGACTCAACACCTTGGAATATTCCATACAATTTGCCATAATAATAATAAATGCCATAAATGTCAGCAACAGCTTGTATTTTCTTTATAACATCCTTCCTTATATTACACCTGGTAAACACTAGCTATTTCATCTCATTTGCTAAGAATATGACTGAACAACAGATGACTCTTGTTTTTACAGCTGAATGTGTTTATTTTCCAACTAAAATCCTAAATGGAAACTTGCATGAAAATCAACATGGAAATAGGGAAATCCCATCATCTCCAACAGAGACTCAAGGTTAGCCATTGGGAATCTGTTCTTATATACCTTAAATATGATGGCTTGTATTAAATATTAAAATAGATTTGATGTCCCAAATGTATTACATACAAATATATACTGTAGAATTAGTACTACTGCATACAAACTAACAGTTTGGTAAAAGCTGTTGTCTACTGTAGTTCTGTGGGTCTCTGGAGGAGGGGGGTTCACACGTTACAAATAGATGACACAGAAGGCAAATGCTTCCTTTCAGGGAATGTTGAAACATTTCAATCTATTGGGTCTCTTTTAATAGTCAAAAGCGTTTGAGAGCAGGAGCACACCACAGTCACACATGAGGATGGACAGAAGAGTGCAAACTGACAAAATGGAAATGAGCAAAGCCACTAAATCCACCTGTGTGGCTGGTGAGGATTGAGAAGTGGTCCCAGTTACTGTAACGCTATCCTTACTGTCTACATGGTCGCTGATGGTCGTCATGGAGATGCAGGCATAGAGATCAGACAATCTTCTTAGTCTACTTCCATTTCCTTTGCCGTATGTTTTGTGTGTTGGTTTCCCTTGGCGTCGCCAGCCCCATTTGGGCCTTGCTGAGCAGTCGGGCCGTTATTAGGAGCGCTGCTGTTATGTTCAATCACCTCCTGCGTCTCTTCCACTGTGGGCTTGGACCTGTTGATCACTGCAGCACACACATCCTGCAGCTCCTGCATGGGTGTCACAAGTTTTGAGTGCGTTGAAGTCCGAGCACATATAGCAAGACTCATAATTGGAGGAGGGGGGGGCATACCTGGATTTTGGAAATGATATCTGCTACTTTGACAACGGGATCTTGAGTGACGGCCAGTTTACTCTGCGCATTAATCTTGCTGTTCATCCAGACCATGCTGTCATTCAAGCATTTCTCCACGGTGTTGACATCCTCTGCAGCCACATGGAGATAACGCTCATCCTGTGGAGAATTTGCAATCGCATTCATCATCCTGGAATGCACGTTTTAGGTTATTTACATCCATCCGTCCAATTTCTGATCCGCTTTATCCTCACGAGGGTCGCGGGGCGTGCTGGAGCCCATCCCAGCTGTCTTCGGGCAGTAGGCGGGGGACACCCTTAACCGGTTGCCAGCCAATCGCAGGGCACACAGAAACGAACAACCATCCGCACTCACACTCACACCTTGGGACAATTATGTGTGTTCAATGAGCCTGCCATGCATGTTTTTGGAATGTGGGAGGAAATGCAGTGAATTGTCTGTTTTAAAAAATGCTCACCTTCTGTTTGTAAGAGTCCACAAACTTCATGTAGAATTGTAGCCTCTTGCCAAGCTCCTCAAAAGCCTTTGGCCGGTCCTCGTGCTCTCTGTGCCGGTCTTGAATAGGCTGACCCAGACTCTAAGCATGCATATACTCTTCAGCACACACTATCAAATTCCAATCGTATGTCGAATGCAAAGTGATAGAAAACAAACCCTGAGTGCATCCAGCTTTTCCACATACACGTCTTTGGATTGGTCCTCCCCTTCCTCATACAGCCAGTTTTCAGTGTCCTCCAGGAGTAACGTCAACCGGTTGCTGTCCTATTCATCACAAATGTTAAAAATCAACATCCATATGCTGATTCTTCCAAATTATGCAACACAATAAAATAAAAACAGCACTTACTTCCTCCGTGATATACTTTTCATAGATACCACACAGTTTGTTCCGGAGATCATAAACGTATTCTTCCACAGCGTTTTTAGCATCATTTGCCTCTTTCACTTGTTTGTCTTGCACAATCATTTGACGCTGTGACCCAGAAAAAAAAAAAGATTAGTTTTTCCAGGAAAGAGTTGAAAGGTTGATTTGATTTGTGATGCGAGCAATAAATATGTCATTGCTTGAGTGAAGTAAAAAAAATAAATAAATAAAATTTTGCAACTAAGGTACTTTAATGCCTTGCTTGTGGGCAAGAAAAGCCTCACTCTCAGCTACTTATTAAACGGGTCAAACACACAATATGAGATCACTCTCAAGGAGCTGATGTCTCACGCCAAGACGTTTACATGCACTGCACCACAGCCCAACACCAGCTCCTGGTGTCACTCACTAGGCCACGTCTCTAAAAGGCAACATACGAATACTAAAGTACGCACAGTAATTACACTTTATAAAATCAGCTTCTTGCTTTACCTTGACTTTTATAACGCTGATTTGACATTCAAAGTAAATTGACAGTGAAATGTCCTCAATGTCTCATAAATAACTGAAACCAGTAGCGATCAAGAAAACTTAGTGGCCAATTGTTGCGAGGCTGACGATATATCGATTGATCTTTAGAAATACCGTTTGAGAGACTCACCTCAAACTGGACAAAGTTGCAGAGCACCTCGCTGTCAAGCTGTCTGATATTTTTGGCCACAATGGGCAGGTCGGCGCTCTTCACCTTCACTTTGGCCTTGCTCACTGCTACTGCTGCTGGGTCCTGCTTGTCCCCTGCACCACCAGTACCCCCCTGCACCACAAAACACACTTAGCTGCTCTTGTGACAATATATCCTAGAGGACTCATTACGACATCCATCCATCCATTTTCTGATCCGCTTATCCTCACAAGGGTCGCGGGGTGTGCTGGAGCACATCCCAGTTGACTTCGGGCAATTGACCCTGTGGATTCTCCAGGGTTAATCATGATAGACCAAAATAGAACAAAAAAATAAAGGGTGTGTACAAGGCCGCATGAAAAATAAGTTAATTGCGTTGTTTGGTTTTATTTTAAAGGAAGAATTGATCAGTTTCTTAATCGCTGGGTATACTTAATCAAGAGTAGAATTGAGGGACTTTATCGGCATGGTTGTGTTTATTATGAGGAAAGGAAAACACAGGACATGGTGATCTGTCCCACTGACCTTGGTGGTGCAAGTGTTGTCTTCATTTGGCTGGTCGCCCTGGCTTTGGACTTCCTGGTCGACCTGCATTTTGGTCTGACAAATATCATTGACATTGAAATGAAAAATATTGATGATGCCTGATAAATCACATTTGGTAGATACGTTAAAATCTGAAACTGAAATCCCTCTACCTGCTCCTCTGCCCTGCCTTCATTTTGCACAAGTGGCTCTGCGTCGATCTGCATGTCCTCCACCTCTCCTTTCTGGTTCTCAATCAAAGATGCACTGGACACACTGAAGATGCCATGGACGTTAAAGCGCACCTTGACCTTCACTTTGGAGCTTTCTCCATCTGGCTGGGGCACCACATTCTGGACTGAAAAGCACCCTAGCAACAGAAGAGGGAAAAAGAGATTCAGATTTTCAGACTCAAAACTCAAAAGCTTCAGTACTGACTGGTTCATTACCCTTCAGTGTGATCTTCACGTATGGACATGAAGCAGAGAATAAAACCTTACCTATCCTACAATCTGGATAGGGAAGCTCGTGAGGGCAGCTGTAAAAGGCTTCAAGGTCAAAAGGCTCTTTCTTATGGAAGGTGATGACTTTGGAAAAAGGAGCAGCATGATTCTTACTGAACACCTCACACTCTCTAAAACAAAAAGAAAAGGGAATGACAATTAGAATTTGGACATTTGAGGTGAAAACCAATACTGTCGTGGCAAATATGAGAAGTGCGATGATAGCCAGACAACCGGAAATTGAACTTGGTGTGACATATGCAAGGACTCCGGCATGCATTAAAACATCAATGTAAACAAACCCTTTTGCTAAAAGTGCTTCATATATCTGAATACTATTCAACGTTCTCTTTTGTGGAACAAAAAAAAAAAAGATATTCAAGTATGAAACTTGTATTTTAATAATAACCTGATGCTGCAATTGTTCTCATAAAGAAGAACTGTATGTTCAAACAGTTTTGCCCAAGGCTTAAATATTCTTTGTCAAAAATATCAGCCGGTCTACATGTTGCGTGGCAGCAAGAGACAGTTCTCTGCGCGCTCTCGAGGGACCTCTTTAAATAACAACGCGTGCACATCCATTTGTGCGCAAAACGTGCGTATGCAATAATAAGTAATTCTTTTGAGCATGAGGAAATTTATGATCAATTTTTTTGAATAAATAAAGCAGCAAAACCTCTTTGGTCTGTCCCACTACCTTGCACGGCAGCCACCTATATTGATTCGTCAGGTTTGTTGCTGGGAAAAAAAATTATTTCGTTCAGTATATCGATTCAATCGATCATTAACGTATAAATGTGTGGCCAGCATCAATGTAAACTAGTCCAGCGCCGATCAAAGTATTGTATGCCAGGGCAGACACATCGATACATCAATTAAATAGATGAATCGTTCCATCCCAATAGATGCCATCACTGGTATGTGATAATTGTCAATCGATTTTCTAAATGGACTTGTATTGTTTTGTATTAAAACAAAGAGAAAACACCAACTCATCATTATTTATGTGAATTATCCGACGATTTTACCGGTCCAGTTCGCTTGAGATCAAATTAGACTGTGTCGCCCCTGAACGAAATGAGTTCCGAAACCCCTGGACTGGACTGTAGGATGTGATGTGCCCTGACCCGAGTCCATCTTCTGTTGCTGATTTCCAGCGCAGAGTAATCGGGAACGGAACAGCATCGGTGATCGAAAATTCACGCACTTTAAACGCCGGAGACAAGATTGCACACTACAAAAGAATGAGACAAATATAAAAACATTATTAACACACAGCAGGATGTATTCCAGAGAGAAGGAAAGACAGAAAGAAAATGGGAACCTGAAGAGCAGCGCCTCTGGCGACAGCCTCGTCAGCATTGAGCGTGGTGCTAACGTCTTTGCCAAAAAACATGGCGATCCGGTCTTTGACGGCCGGCATTCTTGTCGCGCCTCCCACTATCTCCACGGAGTAGATGTCGTCTCGGCTCAGCTCTGCCACACAACAAGTTAACTTTACATTACCTGATATACCCGAGTGGATTAAATTATAGGGACGTACTTGAATGTTCAAGGGCGGCCTTCAGCGGCGTCTCTACCCGCATTAAATACCGTGCACACAACTCTTCAAAATGGGCCCTGCGGGTTGGAAAACAAAAATCTAAATCTTGTTCCATGCTATCATGCTATATAGCTGTGTCTTTATTCGGACCTGTTCATCCTGCTGGAAACGTCAATGTCGTTCATGAAGCACTCAATGTTGAGAGGCAGGTCTGAAGAGTTGGCGCTCATGAGCTTTTTGAGCTTCTCGCACTCCTGATGCAGACAGAGCACAGCCCTGGGGTTGTCTCGCACGTGCAGCTTGTACTTCACTTTGAACTCCTCGCAGAAATAATTCACCAAGGCCTCGTCAAAATTACGCCCGCCCAGATTGGGGTCAAACGCTGTGGCGAGGACCTGGAGACCAAGCACGGCACCGACGGAGCTCAGTGAGAAAAAGGCTCAGGGTGAGAATTGAGAGGAGACAAGAAAAAAAATTGGAAGGCGACTAACCTTGAGTTTGCCTTTGTTGAAAGACGTGATTGCAACTTGGTAAGATGAATGTCCCATGTCCACAAACACAACATTGCGAGGTTTCTCTTCTGGAGTGGGAAGGTCCTGTTTGTAGATTCCATAGGCTAATGCCACTGTCAAATTGAAATGGAATTGGTTTTGAACCTTTATGCATTCTTAAATACTGTAGAATTATCAACTTTTATGTGCCTGCCTTTAGATATGATTATATTACAAACACATTTGCATTCCAATTCAGGTAGAATACTGACAAAACTGTAGCCTACAGTGGCATCCATAATTAGCAGCAACAATGGTTCAGATGGGTAAAAAGCCTTAAAATAGGGTTGTCAAATTCATTTGTATCGCGGGTCACATTGCAATGTCGGGCAATTGTTCTTTGCGACGACCATTTTTCGGCATATATTACAATGTTATTTTCTAACCCAGAATCATTTCCAGGCGAGGGACGTGGACTTGCTATTAAATTACGTCGCCGAGATGGGACACTCCTCCAGATTTGAAACAATCTTGTTTTAACTTGACTGAGTCACGTGACTGAATCCTACCCGCAGATTCGCAGAATGAATGAAAATATTCACAAAGCATCAGTCAGACAACCGTTGGGAGAACTTTATATCTGCTCTGGCCTTTCTATGTGGAGATTGCATGTTCTCCTTTGCTAGTATTGGTTTTCTCTGGATCCGATTTTGATTTCTGTTCCCATTAATGGCTGCACAGCTTAACAACGCAACCTTGAGCAGGAAGGTAACGAACTTATCTTACAATTCTACTGACCTGCAGTGGTGTCATTTATGAGCCGTAAACAGTTGAGCCCTGCTATTTGCGTAGCATCCAACACGGATCGTCGCTCAGCATCTGTAAAAAAGCACGGTACCTGTGGAATACAGAACGCAAACATTTATGGTTGAGTTTGGGAAGGCTTGGCAGTAAAATCAGCAGAAACGTTTGCATCGCGCACAGACACCACGCAGTCCACCACGGGCTTCTTCAGGGCGCCCTCTGACGTCTCCTTCAGCTTGCTGAGCAGCATGCCTGTGATCTGCTGCACGGTGAACACCTTGTCCTCATCCAAATAACGCACCTGGAAAACACAGTTTGCCATTAATCTAAGAGGTTTCGTGTTGCTTTCTCAATCAGGAATTTCTTTTGAAATTAGGTGTGACATTATAGCTTCTGACCCTGCATACACAAAGGAATTGGGATTTCTTTAAATCACATACTGCGAAGAATGGGCAAAGTGATTGTTTTTGTGGCCATTGCAAGAGATGTGGACTGCTTTTTTATTTTTATTTTCTTTAATGAATCCTCCTTGGAAGAATGAATGCACCCTTTTAAAACTCATGGTAACGGTAACACTGTCATGCTGTTAAGGTACAAATTTTTTGTACACAGGCTGAGATAGAGATATAAAATGATGGATGAAAATGCACCCCCCGAAAAAAAAAAAAAAACAATCAGAATTAAATTTTGTAGACAATTCACCTTCAGCCCAGTGGTTTCATCAGGTAGTTTATGCAAACTGTAAGGTAGTTTGTTTTTTTCTGCTTGCACAAAGGGGTCATCGAATGCTCTGCCATGGAACCTTTTGAAGCCATGGACTGTATTTTTGAAGTTTGTTATCATCTGGAGGGGTGAAAAAAAGCATCATGTGCACATTTAAGTCATTTCAATTGAGAGTCAGTTTCAATAAGTGGACAGTATGGGAGTGTCCTTACTTGACTCTTGGCTGCATTTCCAATGATGCGGTTTTTGGTGGCAAAAGACATACAAGCCCTTGATGAAGATGAGGAGAGACAAATGCATCAGCAGATAAAGTAAACTACGGAGAAATAATCAAGACAAGATATGTGACCACCAGAGAGAAAATATAATTTGACTGTCTGAGTGAGAGCAGAAAGTCACTTTTCAATTATGGACTTTTCACAAGGGGTGGTCTGACGACACATACGGAGGCAGGATTGTTCACCTTCAAAAACCTCCGCCATTTCCAATGATGCGGTTTTTGGTGGCAAAAGACACACAAGCCCTTGATGAAGATGAGGAAAGACAAATGCATCAGCAGATAAAGTAAACTATGGAGAAATAATCAAGACAAGATATGTGACTACCAGAGAGAAAATATAATTTGACTGTCTGAGTGAGAGCAGAAAGTCACTTTTCACTTATGGACTTTTCACAAGGTGGTCTGACGACACATACGGAGGCGGGATTGTTCACCTTCAAAAACCTCCGTTCATTTTCAGCCATTTGTCATCATTATCCTTTACAGGATTAAGAAGATATTTAGAGAAGGAGAGGGTGAGGTTTAGACTGCCTGTCGCAGCTGACTTTGGCGGGATACTCCTTGAACTGGTCGCTAGCCAATGCACAGGGCACAACCATTCACACTCACATGTACAACTTTAATGAATCCTAACCTGCATACATGTTTTTGGAATGAGGGCTAAAGCCGGAGAAAACCTATACAAGCACAGGGAGAACATGCAAACTCTACACAGGAAAACGGCATTGCCTCGTTTTGTTATTTTTATGCAAAATTTTTATGCATCCGAGATGATAGCGTGAAAGGAGTGTGCATGCAGGGCTGCACCTCGTGAGCTATGTGATGGCTCAAAGGTACATCGACAGTTGTCAAGAAAGAGGCTAGAATCTCTCCAACAACTAGTTGCCATTTCACATTCGGTCGCAATGGGACTCAAACTGTCAACCCTCCAGTTCCAAAGCCCAAGTCCATCCAGATGACATACTGCCTCCCCAGCAAACATTTTTGTGCCTGACTGTAGGGCTGGACAACTTTCTTCCTTTGTAGTGCCATTTCAGTATTATAGTTGTAGGTTTCCCACTCTTGTTTGACAGCATGTAGGAAGTAACACACCACGTTAACAAATAGAGGGCAAGTTGCTTTCTAGATGTTTTTGTGCACATTTTAACAGAAGCACACAACGCAACACGATGATGTAAATTAGTATGTCACTTTTACTGCCAAGTCTTTTAAAATTGATTGTGAAATTGTTGAGTAAATTTTGACCTTTGCTTAGGTGAAAAGGCCTTCCTCCCATCCAGAGCCAGCAGCATCCCTGGCTGCAGTTTGCACCAGCATCGCTCGTCAAAGCGTCACACAAGAGGCACACATTGCGTAATAAACTCGCAACGGGACCGCTTTTCCCCGCGATGACG